ATTTATATTTTCATATTTCATATTCATTCAAATGAAATTACTAATATGCAAAGTTTATTATTAAATATTAAATACATATTTTTTTATATACTCAATACATGTGCACTTTACAACATTGTCATTTGGAATAATATATTTAAATACGTAAAAATAGTTTTTATTATCTGAAATTTAAAATATATTTCTATAAATATTTTCGAATGCTAACAATATACTTCTTAAAAAAATTAAAAAATAAACGTACATTACCAAATGTAATCACTGACATATTAACTATCTTTCCAGCAGTCATTTTGTATTCCACTCCAGATCGTATCATTATCATAATCAGATTAAGAATATCTTTTTCAGATAATCGATACCAATTCGTCATATAAATCGTATTACTAATTTTCTTACACTTTTCAGAAAGTATTTCACCGATATAACATATTAAAAATGTATTTAATGTTACACATGTTACACAAAAAGCATATGCACTGAGGGCTCTAATATCACGTCCAGACCATTCCTATGAAAAAATGAATATTTTCAATTTTATGCTGTTCGTATTATTTCTTACGATTCTATTATTGCTTTTGTGAACAATATATTGAATTTGTGACATTTATAAGAAATTATAACAATTATATAGAATAAGATTCATTTTATTAATTTCAATTATTTTGGAATTCATTTCATTAATTTCAATTATCTAGTTAAAGCATTTCACTAATTTCTAGTTCACTGATAATAATATTTCTTAAAGTTATAAGAATAAAATGAATAGACCATATTCTATATTAAATTGAATGATTAAAAGTGATGAATTTGATAAATAAAGTGGACACAAATTTATTTTGAATCAATATTTTAAAAATATCTTAATATTTTTGTTACAGATATAATGCAATATTTGTGGATAATATGTTGTATTACGAATGAATCAGTATGTGATCAATTAGAAAAAATATTTTTAATATTTTACAGAAATGCACAAAATTAATGACCATAAAAACAAAGTTCTCAATAAATATATTTAAATTTAAGAAATAGCATACCGCAAGAATGCAATAGCTAATCATGCATATACTCAAAATATTCTTGAACATTTCCATGAAGCATATTGGACTCAATAGATGTTCAATACGTCCTAGAAAACTTCACAGTTAATACATAATTAGAAAAAATTCTTTTAAAGGGGATAAAGAGATAAATAGATAGATAAAAGAAGTTAAACAGTAGAAACAAAAAAAAATTAATTAAAAAATATTACCTTAGAATTCTCAAATGATGTTCGATGATTACACTTATTTCATCAATGCGCATATTTTTATTTTCTTCTTGTGGCCGATTTACAAATTCTTCGATCCAAGTAACCATTATCGTTAACTGGCCAATAGCATGGTATGCAAATACTGTAGCAAGACTGAAAGCGATAACAACGGTAGTACTCATAATGCATGTTGTTAGAAATTGAAGACCAAGTACGATACTGTGCCCTGGATTAGTATCAACTGGAATTTTATAAGTTGGATAAGGTAAGATATATATTTTTATGCTTTCGTTGCCAACTTTGATTGTTTGTTTGAAAACACCCAATATAGTGCAGAAACAAATACTGTCAACTTGCATGAAACCTGCGATACAACCGGAAATTATGCGACCAATTTTTGCGTTTTTAAGCATTACTTGCCGATCCTGCGTTCTTGTAATCGCATTCCAATCGGTTTCTATGTGATCTATACAATAACGTATATCGTCATTAAGAAACAATAATACTGCATAATTAAGCCCACCGCCAATACAATAACTTATAGGGCCAATCATTTTTAATTTTGTTATGATATCTTCTTTCACGAGAATGAAATGTAACAAACTTAGTATTGTAACGAATAGCGCAATGATCCAACAGAGAAGAATTAAAATCCTTGTCATTATCTTTTCGAATTTCGATGTGGAGGATGGAAGTGGCCATAATCCTATCGTTTTCGAGAGCCATCTATTCACTTGTATGCTGTATTCATTGAGACTGCCAAACTTCTTCTGAATCGCGATAATGTCGTCCGCCATCGTCTTTCCTCAACGAAGTTACAGAAACGACTGAATGGTATATATGTACGATGTCGTACAAATGATATGCGTCGATCAATATATATATTCCGTTACCATGACTATTGACGATGGTTAATCTATGTGTTTATGTTTCAGTTCGTTAACGGTAGTTGCACGTGGTGCGTACTCCATGACAATCGGAGTAATAGAAATTAAATCAAATAAAATATTTTTGCAGAATGATAAAATTCGTGAAAAAAATTCGTAAACCTTTTTCAAAAGTGAAATGTTATTTTAAAATATAATGTGTGATGTCTAATATCAATTGAGAAATTGGTAAGTAAAATATAAGTAAGTATACTTTTTTTTTTATTAATCACAATGATATTCAAATAATAAAATTCATTTAATGCAGATTAAAAATTAGGATTATTAATTTCTTTGTATTTTTCAAAATAGAAAAAGAATTAATTTGTCTGATGCGTTAAATAGCTTTGAAACACATAAAATGTGTAACAATATTTCTATTGTTTAGAAATTTATACATTTATAAATTTACATGCTCTGAAATTTATACATTATCTTAGAATACAGTTTCTGGAATTAATAAAATTTTACAATTTCAATATTTTACAATTTTATAATAATCATTATAAAATTTGTAAAATTTTTAAATTCGTGGCTACGTCACGAAGTATATAATAAAGATAGGAAAAGATTTAATATGCTAGAAATAATTTTAATGATCTGTAATAGAAAATAATAAAGTGGAATATAATGAAGATGATATGCAATGTTAAATAATAAATAGACAGAAGAATCTCCAAGAACTATAAAAGTTATCTAAAAATAATTTTACGAATTTTCCATCTATCAATTTTAAAAGAATTCGAAATTATAGATATCAAATTCAATGGTTTTTGTAAATAATTAATCTATCACTTGTTTAAATTTGAGTTCTATTTTTTATTTCAGATAATGTAAAAACAAATAATTTTGTAAAAATAAAAAATACAATTTCGATAAAATCTCACCAGTAGTATGAAAATATTAAATATAAAGAATATGAGCAATAATTCTTTATAGTTTTATTGTTTCCATTTTTAAAAAATTCAGAACGAAGAATAATAATTTGCAATTCTATATTCTCATCATATTTATTCTTATGTTATCATCTGATTAATATTTCAAAAAGCATTTTTAAATTCATTAAAACATATTTCGTTTAGAGACTCTTTGATTTAAGATAAAAAATTGAAAATCGTTATTTCTACGCACAAAATAATATCTTCATACAAATCTACAATCTCTCATACTTTTTACTTAAATGTAAAGTATTTATACGTAAATAATATTCTAGTATATTATTTAACTGTTGTTCACATATCTTTATGTTTTTTCCTTTTCTCAGTCCATCTACAGTTTATCACTTCGTCATAAGAATTCGAAATTGTCTATATTTTTGCATAACAAAAACTAAACTGCAAGAATTCAGTAATGGCAGATATCATCATTGAATGAAGCATTGAATTAATTGTAAGATTTTGTAGAAAGGATTTGATTTCGTTATTTTGATCTCTCTGTTTTGTGCAAAGAGGTAAAACAATAGTATAAAAGAATCTAGTGGAATACATAAAAGCAATAGAGATAATTTTAAATTTATGTGAGTATTTATAAATTTTTGATTGAATTGATAATATGAATTGAACAATGTATGTGCAGAAGAAAATAAAGTGTACATTTTTAATATCTGCACATGATTTGAAAATGCTAAATTTGTTAGAAATATCATTCTAGAAATTAGTAGATGAAGATAATTTATTTTTTACTTTTATTTTTTACTATTATTTTTTACTAATATTTTTTCTAAAATTATTTTTTTAAAAAATAAATAATATTATGTGTTTAAAACATTTCATAAACATGATCGATCTGCAATATAATACTAAGATTTTAAACATTCTTTACAATTAAATCGGTGTAAGTAAATTACATAAATACAAAAAAATTTTGTAAGTTTTTTCTGTGCAAGGAATGTGCTGTACTGTAAAAATATTATAAAATTATAAATTATAACTTTTCGAATAAGAGAGATGCAACATATACGTGATCATTATATATGAAACAAATATAATTTATATTTTCATATTTCATATTCATTCAAATGAAATTACTAATATGCAAAGTTTATTATTAGATATGTAAGATACATTTTTTTATATACTCAATTCGTGTGCACTTTACAATATTGTCATTTGGCGTAATATATTTAAATACGCAAAAATAGTTTTTATTATCTGAAATTTAAAATATATTTGTATAAATATTTTCTAGTAATGTATTTTTTAAAAAAATTAAAAAATAAACGTACATTACCAAATGTAATCACTGACATATTAATTATCTTTCCGGCAGTCATTTTGTATTCCATTCCAGATCGTATCATTATCATAATCAGATTAAGAATATCTTTTTCAGATAATCGATACCAATTTGTCATGTAAATCATGTTACTAATTTTTTTACATTTTTCAGAAAGTATTTCACCGATATAACATATTAAAAATGTATTTAATGTTATACACGTTACTGAAAAAGCATATGCACCGAGCACCCTAACGTCACGTCCATACCATTCCTAAGAAAAAATGAATATTTTCAATTTCATGCTGTTCATGCTATTATTTTTCATGATTCTATTATTGCTAAATTTGTGACATTTATAAAAAATTACAACAATTATATAGAATATGATTTATTTCATTAATTTCAATTATCTTGGAATCTTATCTAGTTAAAGCATTTCATTAATTTCTAGTTCACTGATAATAATATTTCTTAAAGTTATAAGAATAAAATGGATGAACCATATTCTATATTAAATTGAATGATTCTATTAAAAGTGATGAATTTAATAAATAAGGTGGACGCAAATTTATGTCATGAATCAATATTTTAAGAACATCTTAATATTTTTGTTTACAGATAATAAAAAAATTTGTGGATGATGTGTATTACGAATGAATCATTATGTGATCAGTTAGAAAAAATATTTTCAATACAAAAATGCACAAAACTAATGATCTTAAAAACAAAGTTT